GTGCTATTAGTAGTGTTGACAACGTGTCTCTGTTTTTCGCTATGAGTTTAGCTAACTAACGACAGTGTGGTGAGATTGCATCACCGTGCTGGTGATGCTCTGCAGCAGTACTGGGTGTTTCCAGCCGCCTGCTATCAGAGGCTGCCCGGCTAGCTGCTGCTGATGACTCGCTGTTTCCTGACATTTTTCTGCAGGTAGGTGACTGGTGTGTTGCACGCTAGCTGCATGCTTTCTCCTAGGCTCTGTCTCTGTAATATCTGTGCATTGAAGTGTCGTAAAGTAACTAAGAAGATGTACTCAAATACTGTACTTAATTACAATTGTGAGGTACTTGAGTTACTCTACTTGAGTATTTGATGTGGTTACCACATCAAATACTCAAGTAGAGTAACTCAAGTACCTCACAATTGTAATTAAGTACAGTATTTGAGTACATCTTCTTAGTTACTTTACGACACTTCAANCCAGGGGAGCTTGCCCCCTGACCCCCCTATGTGAGGTCCACACACCACCTATAAAAATAACACTTTACCCCTGCTTACACCTATATGCCGTGAGCTGATTATCGAGCCTTCATTGTAACAGTCGCGGGTACACTGTGTGTGTGTGTGTGGGGATTGTTGCAGTAGAACATTCCACTGTAGCGACAAGTACATTAATGGGAAACCCTAAATGTTTGAGCACCCTCTATGAAACGTCAAGCTACCCCACAGCACCCCCAAAATAGAATCTCTGGCGCCGCCACTGAGCCTGACTATTTGTGTTGGGGGGGCCCGACTTTTTTTTTTCTCCAAAGGGGGGGCCTGACAGAAAAAGTTTGAGAACCACTGTACTAACCGAACCGTGACTTCTGTGAACCGTTACACACCTAACCCCTAATACTTACAGTTATCCATAATTAAAACAATTGTTGGTGGTAGCTCTACTGACCATTACTTCAGAATTAACGAAAACAAGAAGACACAGCAACTCTCAACTAACTTAAATAATCATGACAACTGCTAGAGAGTGTGATTGCATAACAACAAGCTTAAAAACACTCCAAGAGCACAGAGGGCTTCATGTCTTAATCACATGAAAACTGCTTATCTAAGCAGTAGTCATTTTTCCCTTGTTTCCATTTCCTTCCTTTGTTGCACAAAACGGCCCCGATATCTCCCAGGCAGGGAGTGCAGCTGAGCCGATCTATCCCTTCAATATTACAGTTTCACAGCAAGACGCGGCTAAGTCCCGACTGGGCTATGAGAGAAAAAAATACAATCATTCCTTTGCTTATTTCTCTCTTGTTGCACATAAGCTTGAAGGTCAAACGTTTCCATGGCAAACGCAGGTCATGACTTTGATTTTCTTTCAACTCTGCCCTCCTTCCTCATTCGAGCTCAACAGCTGCAAGGGCCTGCTGATCTCTGAGAGACATGGCCTTTCTAATGCGGAGAAGCCTCCTGATAAGTCACTCTCACCAATCCAGCCTTAATAGATATCACTGACAGAGGCAGACAGTTCAACCGTTGGCCCATTAGCAGCAGGTCAGCTGTAGCCTCAACAGAACTGACCAGTCCCACTTGCTCCATGGGAAGGGAAAAACAATGGCGTTTGTTCCACACTTTCAAGCATTTTCCACTGGACACGCCAGCACCATAGAGAGCAACATAATGGAGGGAAATTCAGTATTACATGACAGGGAAGGGAAGATCCTGACGTCAGCGAACGAGGCACATTTTCCTGTGGAAGCCACTGTCCGGCACACTGAGTGTCATGTGATGCGTTTAAAGTGAGAGACCTTTCAGGAAAGGGAATCGAACTAAATTCATCTGCAAGCTAACCCTGTGACCTGGTATACTGTATTCCATACTGCATGTGTTCACACCATTTTTTAACAAAGATACAAAGTCACAGAAGAAGCAAACATCTGATTTAAAAAGGTACCGGAGCTGCTTTACGGCATTCACAATGAGCTGAAAAACCTGTGAATAAGGAATGTAACTAATATATTTTATTATCAATATCAATAAATGAGCACTATAATTTCCTAAAGTCCAAGGTGGTTTTCATCTTTGAAAAATCAGAGTGAAAAGTTATTGGATGATATGATATAAAATACTCACATTCAGGAAGCTGGTACCAGCAAATACTCTACTTACTATTTATCTGTCTTTTGAATTCTAGTTTAGACTCAAATTCTTATGATAGATTTACTTATATATTTTGCCTAGAAATACAAAAGAAAATGGGGGGGGAAATCCCATTACAACTTCCAAAAAGCTCATCTCTAACTTTCATATACTGCTTATGTTGTCTAACTAAAGACATTGTATGTATATTCATTGGAGAATAAGAAAACCAGCTCATTAAGTCATTTATTATTTTCCAGTTTTGCTTACAAATGTACTTAAACTTTTTACTCTACTACTTTGATGGGAGTAGTTGATGTTAACTTATACTGACAGACTACAAGAATAACATGATTTAATTCGGCTACAATGTGTCACATCCCTTTAACTGCTAAATGTTTGCTCTTGCAGAATACACCCAAAAGATCCCCTCTGGAGAGCAGCGCCTTCAGCCTATATTGGAATACCCATTCTAAGTTTAGCTCAGATCTGTGACAGAACAACCAGTTCTCAGGGCCCCCTTCAGATATAAGGAACAAGAAGATTTCACTACTGTTTACCCTGACAACACTACCAACAAACAAAGCCACATAGGTATCAACCCCCTTGCTGTCACCAGGCATGTCTAAATACTCTGCATGACTGAGATGACTGAGAACGTCCTCTGATTCACCAACATATCATGAGTATGTGTTTGTCATGCTCTAAGAAAAGACTGTACATTCACAAACGTCCTGATTGATATAACAAATGTGTTTCAGTGTGTGCAACTTTGGTACACACAAACATTTTAAAATTTGTAGGTACTTGTACTTTACCTGAGTTATCTCAGTTTATGCTACTTTATACTTCTAATCCACTACATTTAAGAAGCAAATATTGTAAATTTTACTCCACTTTATTTATTTGAATGGTCTTTGTTCCTAGTTTTTTTTTGGGATTTTATTAGCTAAATTCAGAATATACATCAATTATTTAATTGATTATATTATGATATAAATATGGATCAAACTTTGACATACCTGTGTAGGTTAAGATATACAACAGCAGTATATACAATTATTCAAATGATCTCCGCCTTTAGCAGCTGTGATAAAAACACATCAATAATCATAATATTAACCCACTCAATATTTATTTATTTGATTCTGAAATACTTTCAGTATATTAAGATGCTGACACTTTTGCACACGAGTAAGATTTCGAATGCAGGACTTTTACTCAGAACAAAGTACTTTTACATATTGCTATTGCTAGTTTTACCTAAGTGGAAATCAGAGTACTTCTTCCACCACTGGTTAAATGTGCAGTATATGAGTCAGGACCATAGGTCAGGACAGGACTTGGCAGCTGGCTGGCACTGCGCATTTTCAAACAGTGAGCACCGAGCAGAGGAACAGGCAGCCTGCAGGAATTGAACCATCTCTCTCCATTGAAAATTATGTAATGCTGTAGGCACACATGCCGGATGATAGGACATGGTTATCTTTGCGAAACCTGCCCCGCCCTTTATCAGTCCAGGCAATGAAACACTCGTACTAGTCTAGCCCTGAGAAAACCAAACAGCTGGGGTAAAACTCCCTGAGGAAACTACATTTAGTAACCAGGTTAATAACTAAAGTAAATTACAGTGACATTTTGAACTCCAGCCTAACGGTGCTAGCTTAACTTAAGTCTATGAACTTTCGAAACCCTGATATATCCATGTTGCCGAAACCGTGTAATACATAGTTAATGGTGAGCTAGGGGAACCTATAACTTGTTACAAACCTGATGTCCTTCTTTGCTATTGTAGCTTTCACTAAAGGAAATCATTTACATTTTGTATTACCACATTACCATCCGCCTCCCATCGGGAAGTAACGTTAAAACTTTTGACGTTAGCCCCTTAACGTTAGCTCCAATGTTAGCGAATTAGCCACAGAGCCTTCAGTAAAAAGTTAAATGGTACAAAGTTTTGTAATTCTTAGTTTTGACTTACCTCGCACAGGGTTATTCCTCCTGACGTAAGAGTTTAATTGAAGAGTTACTTCGCTTGGTGATGCCAATTTACAAATCTTTTCGTCCGTTTTTCTGCTCAGCAGCGGCACCATCGATCGTCTGACTGACACAATCGCAAGTTAGCCAAAGTACGACACATAACATCCGGTCAGTATTTTCAAAGTAAAACCACGTCTGGTGTAGAAAGTAAAATACATGCATACACTTTACTTGCGTACAATCTTAAAACTCTGTTTGAGTTTAAAATGTATTACTAGTACGTTATATATCTACCCTTTTACATTTCAGGTGAATTGTTCTACCTTTGTTTCACATGTTTGTATGAAAGGGGCCAAAAAAGTCATTTCAGTTAGGTTTACAAATATCTGGAAGTATATACCTAAAGACAAGATGAAAAATACAACATATGTTGCCTGACTATGAAATTAAACTTAATCCATGAGATTAATAAATTAAGTAGGAACATTTTTACTTTGAAATCATCCAGTTTCCGACCTTGCGATATGACTGGTAAACTTTATCCAAACTACGCAGAGGTGCGGCGGCCGGACGTCACATCCCTTAAAAAGGTTGTTCTGGTTACTCTGTAGCAACCAGCACCCACTATGAAGTTTGGGGCCCAGAGGCTTTGAGGGATTGGCAGTAAAATTAGGATGTTTGATTTCTCTTAAACTCCATAAAAGGAAGGCGCCCTGTTTTTCTGATCCCCTTGGTGACCTAGAGTAGTTGCCTGTTTAAGTAATCCATCCTTAATTAATGTTATTTCTTTTACATTTACTGGAATTCAAACACTTTAAATTAAATTCCGCACAAATTTAAAGGGCCAAGTCACCCACATCCCAAACATATTTTCACCCACAAGAAATGAAACATTTTTATTGTCAAGGCAGCACCAATATGGATATTTTATTGAAAGGTAGATACAAACTAAAGGGAAATAATGCATTTATCATACAAAGAGATCTCAGTGCTGCAAAGCTCAAATAAAAAAAGCTGCACAGTTTATGACCACAATAAAGAAGTGAGAATCTACCATCATGTCGGCTCACACCTGGGAGTTAAATACATCTCTCAGTAAATGTGGTCATGATGTGAGTGTCTTTCTGCCCAACACTTACTCATACAGATCAGATGATTAGGGGGAATTTCGTAAGAGATTTAATTTTGTACACTTATGGCTAACACACCTTGACAAATGGAAATTCTGCATGTAGTAACGGTCCATGAGGAAACAACAAGGTAGAGGTGGTGGGGAAGGGTCAACATTTCAAGGACACGGAACAGTGCCATGCAGAGGCTTAATCTCCTCTCAGTAACAGCAGGAACAGAAAGGTCATTTAGCTTTTGAAAGATTGACCTCTGATAAATCCAAACTCCAGAGAGACTAGATTTACCAAAGGCTATAGGACCCCTTGGAATGTAATCTTAATCAGGTCACTGGTGTGTTTACGCTTTCTCCATTTTACTTTAATCAATATACAGAAGACCCCCTTTGTTTTAGAGTAAATAAAGAGATTATTATGATTATCTTGATCATTGACATTAGCCTTGATTTATTGGTGAGTGTATTGACCCTTTCTTCACTTTAAATTACCCTAATCATTGTTAACTAATACATTATATGTAAAAAAAAAAAAAAAAGGTGCAAATACCACAGTACCAAGTATACTGCTAAAAAAACGAAATACTGTAGCCTTACTTCAGTGAATCAAAAGGCTTGTCATCATTGCTAATTCAACATGTCAGTAGTAGCAGACAAATAAAGCTGAGAGCTAATACATTACCAACACATATAAGTATTTAAGATGTGCAGTAGATATGACTTCAGTGCAACGGAAATTGCAACATATTGATTTTTAAAGTCAAGCGAAAACAATTTGATAAAGTGCGACAGGGTTCAGCTCTGAATACAATCGTAATGAAGCCCCCTGCAAATGCATACTGATAAACATATAAAAATCATTATTCAAACTCATTAAACACATTAAGCACAGTTAATTATATCCGTATATTATATCTCTAGACTCTTTATAACAGTTCAATCTCTTGTCCCTTTATTCTGTATATTTTATTATTCCACTTCCTCTCAGAGCTTCTTCTTTTTAGCACCTGTGTGGGGTCAAGTTACAGTGTAAGGACTCGTAACCATGCATAGTTCAGGTGGTTTTAATCCTCCTTGTTACGTTGGATTGTAATTCCATTGGTTTACATAATTTACTAGTTTCAAATGTCCTCCTTTTCAAGGTTTCATGGACTTTTTCTTTCTCTCATTTATTGTGTCCTTATCTTCACAGGGAGCATGGGCTTGGGTGCGAGCAGCTGTTGGGACATTGACCCCACCAACATAATGTCTGTATTGTTAGTTAGTCATTTATACAAACATTCCCCAAACCAGGCTTATTAACTCTCCAAATAGGACCACGATATTGATTTTCCTCCTCTGCAGCAGTGGAGTTGTCTCCCCTCAGTCAGTGAAATGTGGAGACAGGGTCAGCAGTCCTCCATCGAAAAGCAAGGATAAAAAAAAAAGTCTGGTTTCTTTTTTATCTCCTGTGCCCACTGTTGGACTCTGTAATGATGTGGAGGAAGTCATTAAGAGCCAGCGATGTCACCTCACTTCCAGGTGGCGGCGACAGGGCGAACGCCTGCACTCCCCTTGCTGCCCTTTGACCCCAGGGACTGACCCGAGCGGCTCCGCAGGTCCCGCTCAGCGTTCTCACTCTGGGCCTGCTCTTCATCGTACCTTGTGGGAGGCAAAGAATAATGAAGTGAGGAAAAACATGTGAGAAAACTCCCGTTTGCCTGGACTTTTTATGTAAACAAGGTACTTTACTCAAACAAACCCCCCTTTGGTAGGTGCTAAACGCACATTACCCGCTCTATTTTGTTTAAAATGACAGGGACAGCACTATCAAGCGCCCCTTCGATAGCTCAGTTGGTAGAGCGGAGGACTGTAGTGGAAATACCAGGCATCCTTAGGTCGCTGGTTCAAATCCGGCTCGAAGGAGTGACTTTTAAACACAAAAGGATATTGACAATAACCAGGGAGGTAAGCGAGTGGCTCAGACTCTGGAGTCAAAGCAGGTTTGTACAAACGCTGAATTATTGTGAAGAAAAACTAATGTTCTAAGCTTTATTTCAGATAGTTCACTAAGGTAACAACCGTTTGAAAAGAGACAAGCATTAAGAAATGTTTTATAAAGAGGGCAGGTGGTCTTTTTTAAATTAGGTACTGTACTATATCAGAACTATGGCCCAATCCCAAACCACGCCCTACACCCTACCCCTACACACTACCCCTCCATGACGGAGTGAACTCCGCGGAGTGACACTCGCAGCTCAACAAGGCTCCCTCCTGTCAGATGGAGGGTGTAAATACAGCGGCAAGCTTTGGGACGAACTTCCCTCTCTCCGGCAGAAACAGGAAATGCCGTAACTGTATGTAACAACGGTTTCAAATCAGCATCTCTTAGACAAAACATTAAAATTGATAACTAAAATAAAACTCCAAACATCTTCAATTGTGTTTTTGTAAAGCTCTTTTAGTTTTAAACCTGATGTTTATAAGCTTCTTAGTTTTTGCAACAGTCTGTAAATATACACAACTTTATAATAAAATGCACACATTTACCTTTTTCTAGACTAAACACAGGTATGATCCTAAGTTAAAACATATGAGGCTATCATGAGGTTCTTAACATCGCAATTTATCAGCGGATGTTTGCTGGAACAGTATGTAAACAGCTTTCCGTTTCTGACGGACACACACAGCGTTGAGTCCGGTCAGGTAGGGGGCAGCAGGTGAAGTCAGCACCGATGCAGACTCGCTGTTTGAAGGCTTGATAGCCCACTCCCCCTCAACACTCGTTGGTTAGGAACAGCACTTAATGTGGCGGACCCTCCGCACGAACGCGCAAACAGAGGGGTAGTTTGTAGGGCGTGGTTTGGGATTGGGCCTATATGTGCCCAAAACATACATCTCTGAACACCAAAAGCTAACAATGTGAGGACAGAGAGTACCATGTTATCAAAAGGTTTTCCTGCGAGCCAGATTTGAACCAGCGACCTAAGGATTACTGAGGTAACCACTCTACCAACTGAGCTATCGAAGGGAGACATTATGAGACAATGAAACAGTACCAGAAACATTTTCTGTTGACTCTCACCATGGGAGGAATAACATGAAAACAGAATAAGACCTTATGTATAAACCTGAAACCTGAGAGTGACATTTAGTTGTTTTACGTAGACTAACTATGTAAACAAGTCACTGAAACAAACTTCCCTCACTATTGTGTTCAGAATAGGGCCCCTACTATTACTGAGTGTATTGTATAAGTATGACCCACGGACAACAAGCACATTACATCACAGCATCACCCCTAGTTCAGTTGGTAGGGCTGAGGGCTGAAGTAGTCTGTAGGATTTTTGTTCATGTATTTGATGCCAGTTTGAACGGCAGTTAATGCTGTAGCAGGTACGAACAAGCTCAGGATAAAGGCTACGGCAGAGATTCTGCTGTAGCCTTTATCCTGAAGAGTCCTGAAGAGTCAACCATTTTCTTGTTTACCCTCTTTATTTAAACATAAGTTGATGGCTGTTGTGTACAAGTCATATCAGTTAGAATGGCAATGTTGTTTAGTTGCAGGCTATGGATTAATATACTTAAAGAACTCCTTCGAGCCGGATTTGAACCAGCGACCTAAGGATGCCTGGCATTTTCACTACAGTCCTCCGCTCTACCAACTGAGCTATCGAAGGGAGTTGAAGAGCCTCACATAATTTTTACGCTAATGTTTGGTCTTCCCTGATCATATCTACTGTATGTCAAACAGTACAATTACAGAGAAAAACAACTGCTTGTTGAACGCTGATGTGCATCATGTTCGAGTGCTGAGTTAAAATGTTTAAATGTTACTGCTTCCAGTCAGATTTGAACCAGGGACCAGAGAATATACTGAGTACTTCTATTCTGCCAGTAGAGTCCTTCATCACAAAATACAACTTCTACCATTCAGTATAGCACAAACTGTGTGAATTATGTCCACGTTCTCTTCACTGAGAGATGGATCGATTAAGTGACTGATCCTATACCATGGCTTTGGATGCTTTTATTTTTAATAACCCCAGTTAAAAGCCACTCCTTCGAGCCGGATTTGAACCAGCGACCTAAGGATACCTGGGTTTTACCTCTACAGTCCTCCGCTCTACCAACTGAGCTATCGAAGGGCACAACAAGACCAAATATTCCCATATGATTGACGCTTCTATTGCCTCATTCGCCTTGTAGCCTGAACACTTTATTGAAAAAAGCTACTTTTAAAAAAAGGCTTGAAGTCAGAGACTGGCCGTCTTACCGTCCTTGGCTGTTAGATGTTTGTATGAATGTCAAAGGTACACTTAAATGTCCCTCACAGGACTTGATAGTTGCTCTACCAACTGTTAAAAAAAACATGAGCAAATAGAAGCCTCACTCGCCTTGTAGCCTGAACACTTTATTGAATGAAAACTCCTAAAAACGAGTCAAGTCAGAGATACACTTATATATGATGACCAGTAAACAAGCCCTTTGTAATAAGACAGCATTTTACTGTTCTGGTTGGTCCTACCTGATCATATCTACTGTTAGTTAAACAGTACCGGATTTGAACCAGCGACCTAAGGATGCCTGATTTTAAAACTACAGTCCTCCGCTCTACCAACTGAGCTATCGAAGCGTACAATTTACTTCCAAACCAGAAACCATCTTAACCTGAAGTAACTGTACAAGACAAACTCTTCAAGGATATTTTTAGCAGCTGTGTGACCCTTCTTGGAGTTGTGAATGTATAAGGTAGACTTGAATGTCACTCACAGGACTTGATAGTTGCCCAGAGCCTCGCGGGGCGGGCTGCGATTCCAGCGGCAGTCTGGGATGTCCCCGTTGGGCATGACGATGTTCAGGGTGTCGTTGATGAGGTTGTACTTCAGGATGCGGTCGTTGGCTGTGCTGGAAGTCAGCGAGGGGGAGGCATTGACCTGAGAGTGACACACACAAAGAAGTACCATTTACATATGAACAGATCCCAGAGAGAGATTCAGCTGCATCTTTGATATTCACACACTTGAATCCTTGAGTGGGTGAAAGAGTTTTGATTCTCAGCTTTTGTTATTCAGTACCTGTTAATGAGATTTGGCTGCCAGCGGGAATACTTGTACTAATAATGAACAAAGGAAACTCATTTCCCATTTTTATGTCACCCCAGATTAATTTCTAGTAACAGAAATAGTTCAGGCCTAGCCTTGAAACACAGCAAGTTATTGTGTAGCTGTCAGAATGACTCGAGAAAAGATATGGCAGCCACAAGAGGAACATAATATTTTAGAAAGTAAAAAGGACAATACAATCATGATAGAGGCATTCTGTTTTTAAGACGAGTAAGCATACAGTGTTGCATACAGCAGTGTGTTTCAGCTGGAAGAACGCATTGGATGAGTGAAAGACACACCTTCAGCGAACATTTGAATAGAGAGAAGCACACGTTCAAAAATACACACACAAAGATCAACCTCAGGGGCATTTAAAGTTGCTAAACATTTATGGGAAAGGAATGTGGAGTCATTGTGTAAGCTTGTTAAGTATCCTTGGACTCCTTGGACAGGAACAAAGCAAAGAAAAACACAATTTTATTTTTTGTGTTGTGTGCATGCATGCATGTTCCTCCTTAAATGTCTCACCTCGATAAGCCATGGCTTGAGCTTGTCATCGATAATGATGTCATACCCGTAGCACTCAAAACAGTGTTTGTCATTGTTCATCACAGGCTGGCAGAGAGAAAAGACAGACACTGGATTAGGAAGAGGAACTGACCTACATTGTGGGTGATAAAGAACATTTTAATGCAATATAGAATGATTCATGAGGGAAAGATGTTAGCCAATAGAGAAAAGAAACCAGTGAACAAAACTACTACTACAGAATAGCCTGTGTGCCGAGGCCTGAGAGGGGAAGTGAGTCAGATCACCTAGTAGAAAAGGGAAGTGTGCAATAATTGCTAAAAACAAAAAGAAGTGCCCACATGCAGGTGTATTTTTACAGCTGTGTGTTTAAAATTACTAGCTGACTGAAACCACCGAATACTAAAAGGCAGCATCCCAACAGGAACAGAGTAAAATCACAATGACTTTTGGCTCAAACATGTGTGGGGGAAGGGTTTTGTGCTGTAAGTGGCTTCAGCAGTAGAGATGTGAAAGTTTAGTGAGCATTGCTAAAATAGAACTTTGGTAAATTACACCACGATTGTACTTTTGAGGTACTTCACTTGAGCAGTTCAGTTTAATGCCATTGTATTGATCTACTTTACTCTAGTTCAAATGGAAATGCTTATTTTACGTTAATGGTCCAGTGTTAATTGAATAGGAAGTATGATAAATATATATATATATATTTCCCGAACCTGTGTCGAGAGCTGGAGTTCAATGAAATCTCAGATTTGCCTTCTTAATCGTTTGTTTGGGTCCCTCACTTCCGTTTTGCTTCTCATGCACCGATCGCTAAGCTGAACAGCCAATCAGAGTGATTTCTTTAGTCGCCTGCCTTTTACCGACAGCCTCCCGATTCAACATGTTGAATCAGCGGCGGAAGGTGTTGGCACGGCCGAAAAGACACGACGGGGCGGGACACACCAATCTGAGTAGGGCTGTCACTACCCGATCTGCACCCCTGCCCGATCTGCACTGCGCATGTGCGAGATGGTCCGCCATATTTGACAACAACATACGGCAACCATACTTGTCAACCCTCCCGATTTTCGCGGGAGACTCCCGATTTCATTGCCCTCTCCCTCTCATATTTCTCCCGCATTTCTCCCGATTTCTGAAAAAATCTGATTTACTCAGGACTGTTTCCACTCGGACTTTAATACAGCTACACCATTGTTTGGTTTCCATGGTAACACGTCTCTTTAGTAGCCCGCGCAACTCAAAGTCTGAGAGGGTGAGGCAGATAGTCACAGAAGACAGAACAAAAATCGACAACTACTCTACTCTCTGCTCACTCCTTTCCTGTAAAGTACCCAGCACACAAATGCTCCATCAAGGACGGTGCTACAGGCCGCAAGGCAGTGCACTTAGAACTACAATAAACATGTTAATGTTAATCTCAACAGCTCCGGCGATCCACTAGCACCCTGTGTGAGCTGCGAGTGTCACTCCACGGAGTTCACTCCGTCACGGAGGGGGAGTGTGTAGGGGTAGGGTGTAGGGGGTGTAGGGCGTGGTTTGGGATTGGGCCTAAATTGATCTGTCATACAGAATGTCAGAAGGCCAGAGGCCAAAATACATATTAAAGACTAATAAATTAAAAGCAGAAACAGATAACTACGCCCGCTTACTGGATCCAAGGGATATTATGTTGGTGCTGCTTTCACTTCAATTTATGTTTTCCATGTTTCTAAACAAACTACTCTTATACCACATGGTCAACTGTGGGCTATTTAGCCCCTAAAAATGCACTCCTTCGAGCCGGATTTGAACCAAACATTTTTTTGGAGGATGTCTAATTTTGGTGGATGTCTGATTTTCCAACTACAGTCCTTCGCTCTACCAACTGAGCTATCGAAGGGTGCGATTCAAAGGTCACAATTCCCAGACTATCATCTAAAAGTCGTGCATCCGAACAGCCACTATGTTTATCAACTACCAATTTGGTCAAACTTTGCACACGTTGTGTAATTTTCATATGATGTCAGTAAAAGTAATTGTCATATCTATTTGTGGTGTAATTTAGGAATCATAAATACTTCATGTCCACTTACAGCTACGGCCTTCAGCGACTGCACGACGATCCAGTGGATCTGGTCGAACAGCCGGCTGGTCACCTCCTTCCCTCTGGTGCTCTCCAGGTACAGACGCAGGTTACTGACCGTCCACTTGCCTCCGTGGACGTGGTTGTAGTCATCCTGCAATAAAGAAACAAACTTTAACTAGATATAGAATTGTTTTTTTTGTTCTGTTGCAAAAAATGTACAGATCAGCTTGAGAGAATAAATAATGCCTGAATTTCGTCAGTGTCAGTGGATCTATTCTGGGGAAGAAATATATTTTTGTAAGAATATAAATGAACCAAATAGCACACTAAATAAAATAATGTGCTTCCATTGAAAAGGGAACTTTTGTTACAGGTGTGATGTTATAACATGTTTGATTCCAAACAACAGTTAAACTCAAAGGATTCTGGTTTTAGTGTTATTTTGGTTTTTAGCATATTATGATCACTTCAATTTATGAATGACTATGAGTTGCATTATGGGAAATGCAGGGTCCATGGCTTGGGAGCTTGTATTAGGGAGCTAAAGTCAGAATATTGCTGCCCATGCTGCTTTGTGATCTCATTTTACAAAAGTGACAGGCTGAATTGTAGGATTTGAACCAAAAAAGATTTTGGTGGATGTCTGATTTTCCAACTAGAGTCCTCCGCTCTACCAAATGAGCTATCGAAGGGTGCGATTCAAAGGTCACAATTCCCAGACTATCATCTAAAAGTCGTGCATCCGAACAGCCACTATGTTTATCAACTACCAAGTGACAGACTGAATTGTAGGAATTACCCTTTAAAACACTATGTTTTTGTAACCATGCCTACAAAAATCCAGACTTACCCCGTGTTTTTGGATGGCCACGTTAGTGAGGTGAACAAACATGTTGTCCAGTTCACTGGTGCTGGGTGTGTACTTGACTGTGCAGAACCTACAGAAACCCAGCTTGTACCTGAGGACCAAACCACACAGAGAGATCACTCAGGGCGGATCATTTCTCATCATTTTCAACATCAGGAAATAGTTAAACATGCCTGTTACAATTTCCCAAAGCCAAAGGTATGTGTGATGACACTCGAATCATACAAATACTAAAATACAGTTGTCAACATAAGCATTCTCAACATGGCCCAATTTATTCCCTGTTGCAGTGTAAATAAGTGACATGATGAGCTGACAGGAAGTAGTCAGGGACCCAAGCTTTGGTCTAGCAATGCAATAACAATAGAACATACCAGCTGTTTACAGGTATATAATAATTGATTACTTCTAAACATAAAAGAAACATAACCTCATGGCTTACATGTAGCATTTCAGAGGTCGATATGTAGTCACCAGAACGTAGAGGCGCAGGTCAAACTTCTTCCCTCCGATCAGCAGAGGGTTGTCGATGTACACGGAGATGACATAGGCCTCCTTGCCACTGTTTGCAGCTACAAACCTGATGGCAAATTCTCATTAAATTCATTAATTAATTCAGGACATGTCGTGGAATAGCAGCCAACATATTTCACTAAAGAGAACGTATAGAGTGCTGCAGGGGTGACATCTGGTGGTACTCTTAAGCAGTTTACCAAAACAACAATTTTTCACTGATTGAGTTAACAACAGGACAGAACAGGTGCTCTTTGGGATCATTTTTACTAAAAGAGTAAGTGTAATAAATGAGAATACTTGGCACCAAGCACATCTATGTAAAGAGTCTCACAGGAAGTGTGACAAAGATATCTTGGGTAACTCACGTGGAGGTGCGGCTGTCTCTGGACCATTTTTTTATCTGGGACAGTTTGTTGATGAGGAAGATGCCTTTGCCCTGAGCCTTCCCGCAGGGTTTCATGATCCACGTGCTGGACGGGTTCTTTCGATACTCCTCCACAAAGAGATTATAATCGGCCGGGAGCATGAACGTCACAGGGACAAAATCTGCACAAGAAATAGAGGAAATAGTTAAGAATATTATCTTAAAAGTGTGTATTTCTACCCTGATCCCTCCAATCAACGTTAAATGGACACCTAAATAAGTGTATTTCCCGTTCTCGTCCTTCTCTGCCAGCGGACTGCTTTCCTTCTCCAGATCCTTGCGGTACCGTTTG